AGGACAGCGAGGCCGGAAGTGGCTGGCCCAGTCTTCTGGCCTGAATTATCTGGGAAGAAAAATAATCACATTCCACGGCTTTGGTGCTGGAGCCAACACAGAGGGGTGGGAGGGGGTGGGGTGGGGGTGGGGGTGAAACGGGGGAGGGGCGGGGCTGGCCTGGGCAGGTGGTGGCGATGTCCGAGTTTCAGCACCCTCCAGGTACTCCCAAACCGTGAATGGTTGGGGCATGGCAGCCAGGTCACATCTCCTGGGGAGGGGAGGCCACTGTTCTGGGCTGTGGTGCTGCTCAGGGACCCTGGAGGTGGCTGAGCTGCTACCTCTTGCCAGATGGTGTCTACTCCCAAAGCCAGACCCTGGTGGGGGCAACGGGGGCAACAGGGGGGGGCTGCTGATGTGACAAGCTTTAGATAGAACCTAAAAGAACTGATGGCCCTTTCATGATGGTCCTGAGGCGTGTCCTCTCTCTGTGTCACTTGGGACTGGATGTGCCAACTAGGCCACGTTTCAGGGAAGGTCTCATTTCCTCTAGACTGGACTCCAGCCCAGGACAAGGGTGGAGTGTGGCCTTCTGTGGGCCCCAGATCACTGCCCGCCTCTGAGGAAAAGCCTGGCGTGCTGGGACCTTCTGCCCAACCCGGCCCAGGGGGATCTGCTGTCGGCTTGGCTGCCCCCCCCCCCCCTCCAGCCTGCGCCCTTGCACAAGCCACTTGGACTGTGGCCCAGTTTCTAGGCCACGAACAAGGGGGCGCAGGCCAGACTGGGAGGGATGTCTGGGGCTGTGTAGGGGCCCTTCCAGCGAGAGGTGGGACTAGAAAGCCATTCCCAGCTGGCTGTGTGGTTGAACCAGAACACATGTGGGAGAGGCCTGGGATCAAGCTGATGAAACCAGGGCAGCAACAGCTGGGCTCTGGCAAGTCCTGGACTCATTCATTCATTCATTCATTCATTCATCAGGTGTTGGCTTCCCCACCCCAGCCTGGCACAGCACAGCTGTGTTCATTTATCCACTTGCCCCCAGAGGGCCTACTAGGCAACGGGCGCTATGGGCTTTTAATGCGAGTGTGACCTGCACCCTTTGCGCTTGCAGTTCCCTGTGCCTGGAACTGTCTGTGGTGCCAGCTTCTGGGCACAGCAGATCTTCCACACACTTGAAGTCACCTCCTCAGGGAGGCCCTCCCTGCCCGGGGCTGCCCTCTCATTCTATTCGTTGGGCATGTGCTAAATGCTTCACATGTCACTTGGTCTGCTGGCTTCGTCTACTGGCCATCGTCTCCATTCACAGATCGGCTCCAACAAGGTGGGGGTTTTGTTTTGTTTTGTTCTGACCCAGGGGATCAGCACACAGTGCTCCATAAATGCTTGTTGAAGAATGAATGGCAAGCCAATGGGTGAAAACTCCCTGGGACAGCTGCAGGATGGGACCTGAAGGAGGGGGACCGGGTGGGCAGGTGAAAAAAGGAGGGAGATAGTTTTGTCTCCAAATGCCTTTCTCCAAGGGAGCTACAGCTCACGGGTGGCAACTGGTGATGGAAAATTTTTTAAAAGACTTGACTCCACTGCCACTGTAAACATGGAGATTTTTTTCTAACTTCTGATGTCGTCCTCTCAAAAAATCGTGAGATTTTGGCCTTCCCAACCGAGGCTTTGAGTTCCCCACCCCCGCACCGCGAGGTAGTTCTGCACACCTGGGCTGGGTGGTGGTGGGGGGCTTAGCCCCGCCCTTCCTGGGCCTCAGCTGGACCTCCTCCGTAGAAAATGCGCTCGTGGCTGGTGCACGAGGCAGGGGTAGCGCTGCTCCAGGGGTATGGCGCTGGGGTGGGGTTACGCACCCTCCTCCTCGGGTCCTTTGCAGGTTCCCCTGCGTCAAACGCACACAGGCAGATGCTTGAGAGCCCCGCTCAGAGATGGTGCCTCCCAGCCTCGGGGCCACATCTGTCGCCTGCTCCACGCCCTGCCCTGCCAGAGGCAAAGGCAGCCGACGTGGGCCAGGGCTGAGCCGGGTGGGTTCACGGCGCGCTAGCGCCCCCTGCTGGTCCGCGGCGGGCGTGCAGGCCGGAGCCCGTACCGGCACAGCCAGCGCCGGGAAGCCTGGGGAGTTTCCTTCTGCTCTTCCGGGAATGGGACAGTAACAATAGCTAACTAATGTTTACCGACGGTATGTCCCGAGGGCTGTGAGGATCCCAGTCACGTAAAACCTCACGTTATCCTCGAAACAACCCTGTAAAGTGCATTACCGGAAGGCTCGGGCAGGTTAAGGACCTGCCGGGACGTGCTGGGTGGGGTTGGCCTGCGTGACCCTGGGTTCTGCGTTGGGGCGCAGGGAGGCAGAGGTGACCGAAGATCTCGCCCGATTCACTCCCTCGTGTGTGTCTGTCCTTCTGTCCAACCACCCATTCCTGGACTTCCCCTGGAACTGCCACACTGCATGGCCAGTCCATCCGTTTGTCCCCCCACCAGCCAACCCACTGCCCTGCTGTCTGCCCCCCATCTACTGAGTAGTGGCTAGGGCTGTAGGAGGCCTCCCAGCCATCAGGCTCTTCCCTCATCACCGCCCAGGCCCCGCAGGTCCCAGCTAAGAGGAAAAAAACATGGCTTTCAACGTGAGAAAGGACACCCAGCCTCGCACCTTAGAAATGCACACAAAGACGAGGAAGTGGTGCGCTCAGCTGCAAGATGGCCAGGCAGAGAGAAGCGTGATCGCAGAGGGAGGGAGGGAAGTGGCCTGTCCTACCGTGTGGGTGGGAGGGGAAGCTGATGCTTCTTTGTAGCAACTTGAAAATGACAGAATTGAAAATGGCCCTGTCCCTGGATAGAGACGTCCACTTCCAGGACTTTTATCCCTCGGGTGTGCGTGCAGGCACACACACCCACACCCTGAGGCTGGTGAGCAAAACCACCTCGGTGCCCATCAGTCAGGGCCTGGTCACCTGGGCGCTGGCAGCCCAGGGACTGGGTGCTGCTCTGCAGGGACCCCGAGAGGCCTGTGAGGGAGAAAAGCACCCAGAGAAGAGCAAAGTGGAGGCCACATACCTAGTTAGGTTAAAAAAAAAAGTGGGTGGGAGGAAAGGAGAGTTGCCCCCCGCCCCCCTCGACCTGGAGAGGGTGGGGCCAGAAGCAGGAGGGAACTCCCTCCCAGTCGATCCCCTTTCTGCTGTTTGTGGTCATTTCTAGGTTCATGTGTTCTCCATTTACCAACAAGGAGACGGGGTGCGCAGCTCCGATTTGCCCACCATCGGGGTGTGAGGGGCAGATTCATTTGAGTAGGGGCTGTGACTCGGTCTCTGTGCTTCCCCACCAGGGTGGCCGGAGTCTCCGTCCTATCACCACTGGCAAATACACCTGCCTCTTGCCAGCTCTAAAAAGGGACGCTCTTTCCCATCTTAATCCTGAACTGGGATGTTCCTTAACATCGCGTCTTACATGGGTAACGGGCACATTTTCACTCCGTGGTATGGAAGGCGCCTCTCACAGCGGCAGCAGCGCCCTCAGTGAGATGTGAATCTATTTCCTGCTGCACCCTCTGCCTGCGACACTCGTGGTGCCACTGTGCTCCAAGTTCCCACACACCGGCTGGCTCCCACAAGGAACAGCAATGGGGGAAGAAATCTCAGGAGCAGAGCAGCTGGAGCTGGGGACTGGAGTGCGATGGGGGGGGGGCACCCATTTCTTCTCAACCCTAGTTTAGGCCTAAACTCCAGCCGTGAACTTTACCGCCTGTAAATCCACCAGCAACAACATAGCCCTGAACTTGCTTTGGGGTTTTCCAGCATTTTGCAATAATGTTAGAACCTCTCTGTCCATTCTCCCTTTGCAGAGTTGACTGAGGATAAAGAACCCACAAATGTCCCTGGCCCAGGCCCCTTGCAGGGAAGCTGAAAGGCAGCAATTCACTCAAGGGCTCCGAGGGCGGCCGGTGGGCAGAAATTCAGGCAGTGCTCTCTGGAGGGCAGCCTATGAGCAACAACCCAACTCCTTGCAGACACCTGAGCTGGGCCCAGCCGCCACAGGGAATGGCTGGCTCCTGCCACAGGACTCCGAGGTCTGCCAGTGGGCGGTTGGGTCCACAGCAGGAAGTTCAAATCCTGGGTAAAAGCAGCCACAGATATCTCCACCCCTCACAATGAATGGCAGACAAATTGTCATTCGGCAGGTCCAGAGTCTTTCCATAGACCAGAAATACAGGTGAAAACCCTTCCCCTCCCAATAGACTAAATCCAGCCAATAAATAGCTTCTAGAGACTTACTGAGTCACACGAAGCAACTTCAACCAAAGGACGCCACCCCTGTTTACTCGTCTTTTAGGACATGGTAGGCAGACCCCGGTCCCCGGGACAAACCTGGCCCACCGCCAGCCTCTGTGCGACCCCTTGAATGGATAGCGAGCTTTGCACACAAACACACGCAACGGATTTGATAACAGGGGCTACTCTGTATCCTGGCGAAGCAAAACGTTCTCCCCTAAAAAAAGAATCCCCTCTTTCTCATTAGCAGGCCTGTAACATTACAGAAGTCACACTTGATGACTGTATTTTGAATTTCACCAAATAAAAATTGTAGAAATTTGTTTTCCCTCATTATAAATTTCTACGTACTATCTTCGATTTTGCCCTTTGGCTTTCAAAGCCTAGCATTTACCACCTTTGGCTGTGTGGAAAACTTTGCTAAGCCAGCACTGGAACATCAACTGCAAGCCCAAACCACCTAAAACATCAGATTCTGTCCCTGTTACAAGCCAAGAGGAAGAAGAGCACAGCTGCTTAAATATTAACGCACACTTTTTTTTTATTATATTAAAATCAGGCAATGGTCTGACAATAAAAAGGCTGCTTATGGAATACTGTTATGTTAAACTTTACTTACAGGACATTAAATCCTTACAACTAAGGTTTTCCCCAGAAAAAGATGAATGGAGACATCAGGTGCTTTTCCGATTGGATAGTTGCTGCTTTAAAAGGTGGTTTTACACAAACACTAAATTACACACACAAAAAAACCCCTTCAGAACACAAGTTGTTTTTATTTCGCACGCACCCACATCTTAGCATTTAGTGGTCCTGAACAGAAAAGCGGGAATCGGAGCATTTAGCCAGGAAGTCAAGCCCGCCAACTTTGGGGTTCTGTGGTGCACACCGAGCTCTTTCTGAATCCCTGCTGAGGACCCCGAGAAGCTACAGCACCAACACCAAAGTATGCACCGAGTTCAAGGTTCTTTTTGTTCCAGTTGTCAGATTCCAAACTAGACCCGAATGGGTGGCAAAGATGACCAAGTGAGAGCCCTGTTTAAAACTTCAATTTGTAAAAGCAAAAGCAATTATAGGGACAAAAAAAAATTCATTCAGAGGGATCTGTGTGCTTACAAGTGTCTTCTGTGGCCTTCCTGAGCTAAAAGAAACGTGTCAGCTGATGGTGGCAGCAGAGGGGCAGGCGGAGGACCCGATATTCGTCTCCTAGGCTGGTGGAATACATCCACGTGGTTCCGAAACTCAGCAAGGGAGGTCAGAGACTCTTTCTAACCTCACCTGATGGCTTCGGGCCAAAGCTAGGGAGCGTCACAGATAGTGTTGAGTGTAACCATGAAGAAAAGGACTTGAGGAGGAGTAAGGAGAAAGCAGCACCCCTCGATGTAAAGGTGTGGGGAGGGGGAAGAAGATTGGGAAAGCCCTGAATTCCTCGCCAAAGGCCAATTTCAGAGGGGAGCAGAGAGGGGTTACAATCTATGCTTCGGCCAAGGGTGGTGGTAGGGAGTGGGGAAGGGTGGTGGCTTGGAAGGGGGACATCATTTAAGACTTAAAAAAAGAAACCAGGGGTGCAGACGAAGCACCCCCACACACCCAGCAGTAGTCCCACAGGCTGTGACCTGAAACCTTCACATCTACTCTAATAAGCCACCCCAAGCTGGAGGGCTGTTGCGGGGAAGGAGAGGGCGGCGGGAGGGGACGGGGAGAAGGCAGAGACCCCAGGCCATGTAATCAGCAGCAAGGTGATTGTGTGATGTGTCTTTCACAGTTGAGTTAGATGTGCCCCACCGATTACGATGGGAATCGATTTAAATACACTTTCTTGATCCCAGAAGTTCGACTATGCGGACAGTGGTTACACTGGACAGGATGATTTGTTATAGCACAACTTATATATTTCAGGTGGACAAAATTAGTATCATTTACAGTATCTTAAGATAAATTGCCTTTGAATGGGAGCTTCCTTTCCAGTACTTTGAGGTCTACAAGACGTATCTAGAAAATTTACTACTGTGGAAAATGATGACTGCTTAAATCGAACGGGGGAAGGGGCGGGCCTGTGGTTTTTCTTTTGATTAATTGCTGTAACACTGTCCTTCGGGCGGCTGGGGCAGCTTCATGTTTTCTTTAGACATCATCAGGCGCCGGAGCTCCTGCAGGACGACTTTGATACTATATGAGTTCTGCCACTTCGCTAGCACTGATATGGCTCTTGGGTCCACCTGTAAGAAGGCAAACAAAAACCAAATCACGGTCAGGCTCTCAGACAAAGAGCGGCTGAATGCTGGAGCTGTGCTGCAGTACAGACTTGAGTAGAATGCACTGTTCGGGCTGAACACGCCAATCACACAATGGTAAGTGACTTACCATTGCAGAGTACCTGCAAGACACCTCCCGCCAGACTAGCCTGTTTTTCTCTTGCAGTGACCCAAACCCTCACTGCTTAGAAGAAGGAAATTATGGGTAAGTAGAGCCGCCTCCGGAGAAATGGCCCTGACACTCGGCAAGACTCCACACAAGCAGCTCTAAAACAATGACCTGCCCGTGGGCCGGCCGCCGCTTGGGGCCCATCCTTTCTCACACCTAGGTGGTGTGAGAATGTGCAGGGTAGTTGGAAGACCAAAAACTGGGTGGCCTGGACCCAAGCTCTAGTGACAAGGGCCTGCCTCAGAGTCATCCTTCCTCAAGTTAGCATAGCATTCCCTAAAAGAAATTTCTCAAAAGTGTGGGCTGACTTCTAGACTGTAGGTGGAACTCAGATACAATATTAAACCCTGAACATACGGTAACAAGTTTCTTTCCAATTTCCCCCCAAGTCTGTGGAATGCCTCAAAATACAGGCTTGACTCACGGGAGCCACGCCCTTGAACACCTGCTGACCTCCCCTTTGAATAGACAGCAGGCCTCACAGACTCCATGCCTTTGGCGAGCAACAGTAGCAGGAAGAATTTGTTAACTGCTTTGGTTTTGTTGTATATCTTGCTGCCATTACTGCCTTATGACGAGGGAGACTAGTTTTCATTTACGTTAGTAAAACTAAGTTTAAAAAAAGCCAGGCCACTGATTAAAAATGTGTATGATATACCAGTGGCCCACAAGTCAGGCCCACAAGTATGATAGAAGTGTGACCCTGGGCAAGATCTCTCTCCTCGGTGCCTCAGTGTCCTCATTTCTACCTCCGGGGGGTATCACGAGGACTGAGGGCGCTCATACCTCACAGTGGCCAGCACAGTGCTAGCTCCGAGTAGGTGCTGTATGAGTGAAGGTCAAATACAATTGGGAAACAGGCCTGCACCCCAAATCTGCACATATTTGTACTGTGATACATTTTAATTCATCATCAAAGAACCGAGGAACACACAGGATCAGGCCAAAGTATCCCTGAAGATAAAGCACAAAGCATTTTCAACCTTGAGGAAGGAGCAGGGGCAGAAATAACAACTTACCACTCCATTAGAACTATTAACTCCATTCATATTAATTTTTGTTACAAATCTTACAAAGGGGGGTGCTTCTGGGTATTTAGGTCCACATTCTATTTTAAGGCTGTATATTCGGTTTTCATAAATTGTCTGGAAGAGAAGGGTACAGAGATGTCAGGCAATTACACAAACTTGGTTAAGGCAGACCTCCTGAAGCCCGTCCCCCCACCCCCGACTGCAGGACCGGTGCCTCTGCTTCCACTGCGTACACAGATCTACCCGTTATATTCATAAGCCAGTGGTGATCAGCCCCTACACTAGTGTCATAAGTTCTGGCCTTGGGAGAATAAAAAGGGCAAAAAAGCACTGTGAAAGTTAGAAGTTGGTACTATCAAGTCCACTCAGGACTTGTTCTTATGTTAATTTCCTTTGCTGCCCGACATTCTGAGGTGGTAAGAGGCATTCTCCACTCAGAGTGGCCACACCAGAGGTCTATGCACACCAGGGTCAATAGCCGGTGCATTACATGTCACTATGTCCGAAGCACAGAACAGGCATCTCTTTAGAGAATTTCAAACTTAAGCAGAAGGTGGGGCTGGGTATAGATACAAGAGCTGCTTCCCCCTTCACTACTTGGGGCTGTGCCCTGAGCAAGGGATCTCAACTGGTAGGTGCCACCGCCAACCTCGGCCTGCTGTCCTTATGATGACCTGAGGGACTGACATTCGGTGTGTGAGGGGGTGGGGAGCGCACCAAGGACATGAGGCCTACATGAAATACTTTCCCTCTTCAAACGCCAGCCATGCCCTTTTTGAGAAACACTGGGAAAGTCCAATCCCCCACGTTAATGAACTTTTCACTATAACGTCTGCCTGATGAGCAGCAAAACGTGCCGCCATTGCCAGGCTGCTCCTTCTGCCTCCAGCATCCTGTCCCCACCTGAACTACCTATCACACCCCCTTTAATGCCCCATTCAAACAGCACCTCCCAGTTCCAACACTGTGTAGGACAGGAGGCTAGTCCACAGCTCTCCTATTATCGCACCGCGTTGTTATCGCTTGTGTCTGAAGACCGCACCCAACAGACTGGCACCCTCTCAGGCAGGGGCCACCCCCTATGGCTTCCCTCTCAGGCACCTGAGCCCCTCCCTCAGTGCCTGCTGCACGAGTAACTGCTCCTCAGAAAACAGCGACATCTGGTGGTCCTTGGGAAAATAAATGACAGAGCATGTGACTTAAACCTCTGAAAACACTGTCTAAATAGTGTTTTCACTATTTAGTGTTTAGTGTTTTCACTAACTAGTGACCTACCTGTTCCAAATAATAAAACTGGAACATATTTTAAGATTCAGAAGACACTCATAATACACCCATAGAAACCTTTCCCATCCATCTAACAGAGACCCCCAACTATAACAAAACCAAACCTTGTACCTGGGGTTTCCACCTGCCCTCCACCCGCTCCACCGTCAGCAGTCAGTTACAGCAGAAACCCAGCAGCCAGCCACGACTCCCTCTTCCTGCCTCCCCTACCTGCTGGTCACCAGTCTCAGCTTCTACCCCCAGAAGAGACCCCACACCCACCCACTTTCCTCCACTATGGAACCTCATCTGAACCTCCCAAGTCTGCTTCTCTCGAGCTCCCTACACTGTTCTCCACACAGCAGCCCGACAGACCTTTTCAATCCTGAAGCCGTCCCTCCAAAGGCTTCCTAGTGAGCCGAGAAAAAGTTCAAGTTTCCCAACTGGACCCTGTGCACCCCTGCCTTCCTCTCCTTTTATTCTTCCGCCTCCCCACCCAGGGGCTCTGGCCTTCTTACTTGCCTAATTTTCTTCTCTTGGGGCCCCTAAACCAGTCCCTCCTCTGCCTCCTGCAGTTCCCAAGCCTCCTTGTCCCCCCACCAAACACAGAGCAAGGAGGGAAGGGGCCTCAACAGAACTGGCACTCAATGTTTGTTGAATGAATGAATGTTGTCCTTCGTGTTAATTTAAAATGAACAAAGAGCTTGTTGCCATTAAGGAATTTCCTCAGAGGAAAAAAATTACTCAGAACGAACCAAGTGGGAAGCAAAGGGAGAGGTGCTCTCTGCACAGACTGACGGACAACAGAGAAGGTCTGTCCTCAGGACCCAGCACGGTCTGCACCAGCACCTGCCGAGTGCATGAGCCGCAGTTCCCTCCTGGGCGCATGTGCACCCAATGGCTTTGTCCGACACACAGTTTAAAGACAGAACATCTTGCGTAAAAAAGCCCCTGGGGGATGAGCTTGAGGTAACTGCAAAATCAGAGTCTTTTAAAATGTTTTGATACCACATTTTACGGGTATCCTCTGCTGGTCTGTTATGCAGCTTACCAGTGTTGATAAAATTTCAGTGGCATCTATTAACAACAGCATAAAAATGGGCGAGAAGGCGGGCAGCTCACTAGCAGAATTCTGACCACTACATATATTATTAGACCTTAACATTAATATCACTTTGACACTATGAAATCTAATTTTTAAATACATCCACGCTATGACTCACTTCTTAGAGAAAAATAAATTCACCTCTGACTGCTGATGTTCCACTGGAAATTTCATTAAAACACAGTAAAAAATGCCTGAGGTCAAGTGAACAGAGACCCCTGAAGGGTCACTGAAAAAAGCCCGAAGACAGACTTGTATAGAAAACAGGGCTTGGTTTTCTTCTTTGTGAGTGGTCTGGGGACCTGATAAAAAGGTTTCGTGGCAGAGAGGAAATGTGCCTGACAGAGAATTGCTAGAACATCCGTCTCTGTGAAGAACACAGTTCTTCAGACTCATTATTTGATGCTAAATGAACACTCTTCACACGGTCGATGGGGCCCGAGCTCCATGAGACAACTTGGTGGAGCCCACCAGGGCGTGCGGCAGCCTGCCCGGCCGGCCCCTTGCCAGGAGCGCCCGACAGGTGGACTCCCACTTGTACACAAAAATGCAAAGCATCGTCTGCCTCAGGAAAAATAACTAAACGATCTAAATGTCTGCCTGCCAGGGACTGACTCCGCAAACATGGCCTATGCGTATAATCAGACACGCTGTGGCCTTTTCTAGGGCAGAGACAAGTGCAGGCACTGCTACGACATACTGGTGGCGCAGCCAGCCAGCTGCAGAACATGGACCACGCACAGACAGCGACAGAGGCCTGCCTCTGACTCCGGACACTCAAGCGCACACAGGCTGTTCCTCCACCAGACAGAACAGGTCCAGAGTCTGCAGGTTACAAGGTTTTCCTGGACCTGAAAATTACATACACATGAGATAATCCCAGCTTAGTCACAAGGAAAACATCAGGCAAATTCCAAAAGGGAGACATTCTACAGAATACCTGACCAGTACTCCTCACACTGTCAAGGGCAACAAAGACAAGAAAAACCTGAAAGTGTTATAGCCTCAAGGAATCCAGGACATGACGACAAAATATACTGTAGTATCTTGTGTGGGATTCTGGAACGGAAAATAGACATAAAGTAAAAACTAAGAACACCTGAGTAAACGATGGACTTTAGTTAACAATAACATATCGATATTTGTTCATTAGTTTTTACAAATGTACTATATTAATATAAAATATTAACAAACAGGCAGCGTGCGAGGGGAATGGGAACTTTCTGTATCACCTTTGTAACTTTTCTGTAAAACTACTATGTTAAAATTTATTTGAGAAATGTATAATAAGAAAAAGTATTTACTTAATATATGCAAAGAAAATGGCAAACTTTAAATTAATATATAATAAAATGGTGATATTAGGTCAACTAAACGTCCGCTGCCACTCAATCCAAATCATGTGCAGTTACAGGAAAACTGCGCTTCGTGTGGGCTCACCCGTGTCAGAACGCAGGGCGGACCCTGTCAAAGTGAAATGAGCGCCTGAGAAGACCTTGCTGACTCCGGGTGCAGACAGGCAGGTGGATCAGAGGCAGGTACAAAAGGAGCCGCGCCAAACTGCTTCTTGCAGTGAATCCGGGAGGAGAGTGGGGACGGGGCAGTGAGGGATCAGCCAGGGGAAGGCACCACACTAGGTACCGTAACAGAGAATTCAGTGCGGGGAATGGATGACACCTGTGTCACTGACTGATTAAAAAGCTTACCAAAGGGGGCCTGAGCTAGAACACGGACAACAACGGCAGGGAGCAGGTGGCAACCCTAAAGGTTGAGAGAACAAAGAGAACGGGCTGCAGCTGGTCAGACTGAAGGCTCAGGGGAGAGGTCTCAGGGGCTGACCAATGACCTCTGAGGAGGGGGTGCTGTGAGTGCCCCCCAAAGCTGGAGGCTGGAGCCAGTAGCTGCTGCCAGAACGAAGGGCTGTGCCACCAGAGTGGCACAGAGCAGCTGGCAAACCCCGAGGAGCTAGTCCCCGCTCCCTGCCCTTTGGGCCCTCCCCTGAGTCCTGAGTGGTGAACCCTAAGAGGAAGCCAGCTGACAAAGGAAAAAGGTAGTTTGCTGAGCGCTAGCCCCAGGGTCCACAGCAGAGCAGGGAAAGGCAGGCTCGGAGCTCACGCACCAGCATCCGCGCATGCTCTCTAGACAGTGATGAGACACCGCTTTCTTGCTCGCTTGGTACAAAAACTCTCTCTCTCCACCAGGCTGGGCATCCTTCTGAGGGAGTCAGGGGACCCATCTAGAGGCCACAGCAACTACTCATTTCCCTAATTCAACCCTAGGGCCACGGCAACAGTCTACAAGCTAAGGACTGAACTGTCAAGCCAACCACACCACCCTGATAAGGTAAGAAGGAAGGCGTTCGCTCCTTTCCACTTGCTTCCTGTTTGTCAGTGTCACCCCAGCACAAGAGGCACAGAGCGGAGGTTAGAGCAGAAATACTCCATGGTCCAAAGAGAACTACTCCACATGTAACGCTGTGGACAGCTGAACATTTGCCCAAATTTTGCAAGGGGCACTTGGATGAGTTTGGATTTGGAGAACTTGCTTTCCTCTTAAAAAAAAAAAAAGGCATTCCAATAGTTAATATACAAATATAATTAAAGCATACTCAAAGAGTACGAAAAGATACATGGTAGCCCAGACTGGTGTATCTCAGCTGGTTGGGCGTCTTCCCGCAAAGCAAAGGGTCGCCAGTTGGATTCTGGGTTGCGGCACACGCCTGGGTTGTGGGTTTGGTTCCTGGTTGGGGCACATGCAGGGGGAAATTGATTGATGTTTCTCCCTCATACTGATGTTTCTCTCCCTCTCTTTCTCTCTCTTCCCCCTCTCTAAAAGTAAATAAGTGAAATCTAAAAAAAGAAAAGATACATATGGTAAAAAGTAAGTCCGTGACCATCCTAGCCCCAGCCAGATCCCTTCTGAAGAAGGCAACCATCACCATCAATTTCTGTTCTGTTCTTCCGAAAGTACCCTAAGCACACAAGAGCACGTGCACTGCATGAGACCTCTTCCTTTCCTCCCGCGGCTCCCTGTCACATGTGGTAGCACACTCTGTCTACAGCTTTGCACCTCACTCTTTTCACTTAAATACCAGGGAGATCACCCCATCTTCAGCACACACAAATTTATTTCTCCATTTGGATAGCTAAACAGTATATAATATCGTCAGCTGAAAGACCCTGAGGCGATCTCCAATATTTTGTTACTATTGAAAACGCTACATAAAAATAATCTTGCTTTTGGACAACACATTCAAGAAAAGCTGAGTAAATTCCTAGCAGAATTTTGGGATCATATGGTATACACATCTTTTCAATGTTGATGGATTTTCTCTTGAATAATACAGTAACAGAAATATAATAGGGAGATGAGTTACTTGAGTGCTCTATCTAGATGCTTCAGTAATGGCATAGACCTTGTAAACTAATCTTAGACTGGTCACAGGAAGCACCTAGAAGCAGACAGTTCCTGTTATCAGTTTGCTTTTTACCTTGGGGAGCCAGGGCAGTCAGAACTAGGGGTGAAAAGAGGGATGAGAGCAAGAACAGGTGAGGGTGCAGAGAAACTGAAACCCTACTGCGTTGCTGGTGGGAGGGTAACTTGGTGCAGCCACTTTGGAAACCAGTTTGGGCGGTTCATTAAAATGCTCAATCAACACACAGTTACCAAAGGATCCAACAATGCCCTAGGTGTGGACACCCAAGAGAGTTGACAACGTATGTCCATGTAAAAGTCTATACACGAATGTTTGCAGCATCTTTCGTAATAGTCAAAAAGTGGAAAAATCCTAATGTCCATCAACTAATTAATGGATAAACAAAATATGGTATGCCATATAATGGAATATTATTCAGTCATAAAAATTTAAGTGCTATTAAAAATGGGTGAACCTTGAAAATTATACCAAGTAAAAGACAGTCACAGAAGACCACATATTATATGGTTCCATTTATAGGAAATGTCTAGAAGAGGCAGATTCACAGAGATAAATTAAATCAGTGATTGTCCAGGGTGAGCAGTAGGGGGTGGATTGGGAGTGACTGCCAGTGGGATGGGGTTTCTGCTTTCTGGGTCATGAAAATGTCTCGAAATTAGTGATAGGTGCACAGTTCTGAGTGTGATAAAAACCACTGAACTGTACATTTTAAAAGTATTCTATGGTAAGTGAATTCTATAGTCTGTGAATTACATCTCAATAACGCTGTTGTTTTTTTAAAAGGCGGTATGGGAAGCACTTTGCACACTGGGGTTACTCATGAAATGTTGGCCACTTTTGGAAAGAGAGAAGCTAAAACTCAAGGTGATCTAAAGTGTTTTTGGTAGAACTGAATATTTTCAACAGACCTTAGTGGTTTATTTTATTTGTTCACTTATTAAGTGCATACCCATATTTTGCCGTGTATAATACTCACTCCTGTTGCCCAAATTTTTGAGGGAAAAATAAGGGTGTGCATCATACATGAAATACCTTGTATCTGTTCCTGTGTTTTATAATTATTTGCTACATGAAATTTCTTGTACCATATGTTCAAAAAAGATGCTAAAATTCGTTTATAATACAAAACCAAGTATCTAAATATAAATAAATAAAAACATTGAATTAAAAAATTAAAAGACTTTTTCCCATGAAAATTTGGGCCAAAAACATGGGTGCGCACTGCTCGTGGGAGGGCGCTACTCCTGGGGAAGCGTGGTAACTCAGTGGTACTGAGTGCGTCCATGATGCTGTGCACTGGCTCACTGTCAAGGTGTCAGAACCTGAACACCGGCCTGTTGATCTGTTGATGAACAAATCTACTGCACAACGAGCCCATTCCCTCTGAGTCATGTCCAGGAGCTCTGCAGAGGGAGGAGCAGGGAACACTAGTTCTCGTCCCCCAGAATCCTAAACCACCTTAGAAAGAGAAGCAGAGGAGTGAAGGGAGCCATCACCATACAGCAGACTTTCAGAGACAGCAAGAACCACCATCTCCACAAAGGAACGAGCTTTAGATCGTGTTTCCCTAGTATGTAACAAATCCAGAAAATCCTGGTTTTCATAGGTTTAAAAAAAGATCAAGAAATGAGTAAAAGCAAATTGAATATTAAAAAAAAAAAACAAAAACCAAAACCCAAACAACACTATGTTAAAAAATGAGTCAAGAAGTAACACCACACGGCAGTGCCAGCCATCTGCCGAGTGTTTACGGCAATCCAAGATCAATGTCAGACTGTCCGAACGCTCTGTGCGCAGACACTTCCGGGCTCTGGTTGGGATGTTGTAGCCCCCACAGAGGGTGCGGGGCCACGCATGCAGCTCAGAGAATGAACACCGGCATCCTCAGGCACAAGCGGACACAGGCGAGGCCCCGCTGCATGGAGCCAAATCTCCCACTGCGTGTCTGAAAAAAGGGTCCCAGTACGAGAACCTATTTCTTCACTCCTACCTCACACCACTTCTTAACACTGGGCAACTCTGTAATGGGGACAGAGGAAAACTCAAAATATAAACAGGAGGGACACGATGTGGCAGCGTGGTTCAGAGCACTGTCTCTGTTTGGGAATTATGAGCCAGGGGGCAAGGAATTCTGCCTCCCTGAGCCTGTTTCCTCAACAGTTCAATGAAATGCAACTGATAACGTGACCAGAGGTTCTTGTGAGAATTAAATGACATTTCCAGGGGTGTTTACTATGTGCTGTAAGAAAAGGTTAGCTGGCATTATGAAGACTGGAACTCTCACATATCACACACAAAGTTCGAAAAGAGAGGTCGCTTTCCACTGTCTTCTTTTTTGCAAAGGCCTCTGGGCCTAAGGGTGCCTGGGACGGACCAGAGCGGAGCAGGTAGGCAATAACAACCCTTCGTGTTAAGGGCCCCAATACTCAGGATACAGATGCATGGCGGACCTGGGAAACAATGAATAAAAACCACAACTGGGAAGGCTTTCCAAGGTTTATTTCAACACTGTATTCGGGAACGTTGGCTGTATCTGCAGCCTGGTTATTTGATAAGCCCAAGAGTTTGTTCTAAACTACATCTGAGGTACAATCACCTCAAACCTCACTGTCTAATCTACGTTGTCATGTAAATTCACACTATGAGTCTAAACAGGTTTTTGCTTACCATTTAGAGGAATTAAACTGCATCAGAGGAGGTTCAAATATATAAACTGAAACTGGTCAAAAAAGAATAGCCACATTTCAGAAAATATACCATTGGTGAGCTTTTTCCGTGATAAGGCTACTATTTTTAAAAGGAGGCACAGTGAATTTAAGACATTGACATTTATAGCCGTAGCTCGACGCTTACTCTTGGAGGCCCAATTATCATCCCTGTCCATCTGGTAAGTGTCATGTCTTCGTCATCTTCTAGACCCCAGCTAACTGTGCCATCTCCTACTCCTTTCTGGCCTTCTTCGAGTTCTTCCAACAGTCGAAAATTGCGAGGGACTTTTACTCCTAAAATAAATGGAAAGAAATTCAAGATACTAGCAACTCCAGGGGAACTTGTAAACCTAGAGCTACTTGCTCATTACAACCACCTGGGAATGAAGATGCTAACATGCAGATAATTGCTGGAAGTCGCTGTACTTCAAACTCGCTACTTTCCGAAGCTACTTATAACTGACCAGTGCAACCAGCCAGGAGCACATGGTGCTGTTCAGGTGAAGGGATGCCCAGAATAGGGCTGGACGCCCAAACCGAGAGAGATACCCCACTCCGCCCCCATGGCTTTGACAAACTTGGTCAAGCATTTACATGTGGAGTGTTGATTAATTTGGGTCCACTGATTTGAGATGAAAACCATCAATATCAAGTGCTAACAAAAGTGCCCTGGAAGAAGAGGAGCAATCTGTTTTGTTCTTAATGCACACATTTGAGGGGACGAGTGTGCTCACTAGGTGGAGCGACTCAAACTGCCCGAGGAGGAAGAGTTGCCCTGGTTGTACCAAATAACAGCGATGTCCTCTTGATCAACTAAGAGTCAACTGAGGGCATCGAGGGTAACATTTTAAGTTACTTCAGACACAGTTTCTCTGTTTAAAGAGAAATCTAAAAGAAGACAGCCAGTTCTCTGATTTACTTCTTTCCCCAAATTCCAAAGCCTGACAAGCAGCTCACGAAAGCAAGCACCCAACCACATCTCACAGGTTCCAGCCACTCCTCCCGAGTGCAGGCTGAGGCTTGGGCTGTTCCTGGGGGTCTTCTAGAACAGAGCCTCAGTACTGGGGCCAGAGAGGGAACAAGTCTGTGGGAGGACACAGGGCAACTCTCTGGGGGTTGCTCTCCCAGCCCCCTGAGCGCCCCCCTCCTCTGGCATTTGGCCTATTTCCTCTGGCTAACTCTCAGGATCCAGGCAAACTGTGAGGTTCCTTTCCCTTAAGTGCTGAGCCCCCAATTGGCTAGAATCTTGAAGGCAAGTAGCCCTTAACATGTGACTGTGAACAAAGACTGCCTGGAGGACTCAAGACTGTGAAAGGCCCGTTCCCAGTATGTCTCAGTATTTCCCAAAGTATGGGGTGCATGCTACTATTAATTCAATTTGATCACATGTCTAAGCATTTACTATACATATCAGGCACTTTTCTAGGCACTGGGGAATAAGCAGTGAACAAAACAAAAATGCCTTTCCCCCAAGGAGCTTACATTCTAGTGGGACATACATAATTGGCACAGAATACACATCTACCTAGTATAGATAGATGGTGGTGTTCTGAAGCATAAAGGAATGGTGGGGGGGAGTTACAATTTTAAATAGGTTGATCAAAAAGTCGTATTACAATGGGGCGTCATGACTGATGACCTGAAGATCGGGGAGCCTGACTATGGAGAGCCGTGGGGAACGTGTTCCAGGCAGAGGAAACAGCAAGTGCAAAAGCCCCAAACGGGACCTTGTGCACAGCGTCCAAGAACAGCAAAGATGCCAATTTAGCTGTAGCAGGAAATTAGGGACTCCCCCTGTTACTGAGTGACACAAAAAAGCCACTGGGGTTCTAAACAGAGGAGTAACAGGACCCAATTTGCTTTTAACAGGATCCCTCTGACTGCTGTGTGAAGGACACAGTGAGGGGAGCGAGGGCAGAAACCGCCAGGAGGCTCTGGTCAGAATCCTGCGAAAGCCAACACTGGCTTGGACCAGGATGACGGCAGTGAAGGCAGTGAGAAGCCACGCAATCCTGGATATTTCGAGGTCTGAGCTGGTAAGATCTGCGGTCAGACTGCCTGTGAAGCATGAGAGAAACAGGAGTCAATATGGCTCCCAGGCTTCTGGTCTGAGCAACGCCTGAGAGGACTTTAGGTGGCACATGAGTGGACACTTACTTTTACAGTTATGTATTTACTTTTAAGAATAACTTATTTAGGGCAAGTAATATATACTAACATCTCATTTATGCTGATGGTAAAATTCTCCTTTTTAAAAGAAATGTAGGCCCCGGCTGGTGTGGCTCAGTTGGTTGGAGCCTCGTCCTGTAAACCAGACCGTGGCTTCAATTCCTGCTCAGGGCACATGCCCAGGACTCGGGTTCAGTCCCTGGCTGGGCTGCATACAAGAGGCAGCTGACTGATGTTTCTCTCTCACCCTCTAAAATCAATAAGCATGTCCTCGGGGGAGGACATAAATAAAGTAAAATAAATGTAAGCATCAGGGTCAGTTGACTGAAAAAATATTGAACAGCACAGCAAAACCCAACAGCACACCTAACTGGCTTGTCTGGGGAACACTGGCATTTTTATCCACAGGACAGCCAACTGGATTCTTCAGCGATTCTGCATTAAACCTCCTCCAACAAACACGAAACTAAAGGATGTTGACGACATTATGAGCAAAAAGCCAGAGAATACAATATCTTTTGTTCAGAAAGAGGTAAATCTAAATCTTTAATGACCCTAATTCATTTGGTTTGGGGAAAAACTCACTGTGCATCACTATCAGTTCCTTTAAAAACTGGAACTAATAAAAATGAACACACAAGGAGCACAGACTCATACCGATACAGGACCGCTAAGCACCTGGGGCACCTGTCATAGACGGAGCAACGGCTGAACTGTGTTCTGTCCCGTTCCTGTTGAAGCCCCGATCCCCACGCCTCAGAAAGGGACTGTATTCGGAAACACTGCTTTTGAAGAGGCAGTTAAGTTAAAGTGAGACCACCAAGGTGGCGCCTAATCCAATCTGACTGATGTCCTTACAAAAAGCAGAAACTGGACCAATTCCTGGATACACAGAAGAAGCATACTGACAGCTGTCAGAGGGGAGGGGTGGGGGCTGGGTGAGAAGGGTGAAGGGATGAAGGGATGAAGGGATGAAGGGATGAAGGGATGAAGGAAGGAAGGAAGGAAGGAAGGAAGGAAGGAAGGAAAGAAAGAAAGAGAGAGAAAGAAAGAGAAAGAAAGAGAGAGAAAGAAAGAAAGAAAGAAAGAAAGAAAGAAAGAAAGAAAGAGAGGAAGGGAGGGAGAAAGGGAGAGAGAGAAAGAGAGACAGAGAGAGAGACAGAGAGAGAAAGAGAGAAAGAGAGAAAGAGAGAAAGAGAGAAAGAAAGAAAGAAAGAAAGAAAGAAAGAAAGAAAGAAAGAAAGAAAGAAAGAAAGAAAGAGAAAGAAAGAAAGAAAGAAAGACAGACTCAGGGACACAGACAAGCATGGTGACTGCCAGAGGGAAGGGGCTTGGGGGAGGTAGAAGAGGGTGAAGGGGGGATAAACAAGCAACCTGAGACCTGATGTGGGATAGTGAACGCACAATACAATACACAGGTGTTGTGCTGTAGAACTGTCAATCTGAAACCTGTGTGATTTTATGAACTAATGTCACCCCAATAAATTCAATACAATAAATAATAAGACTAAATTAAGAAAGAGGAAACTGAGACACACAAGAGACAGCAGGGATGCACACATGCATGGAGGAACGACTGTGTGAGGACACAGTGCACAGGCAGCTACCTGCACTTGGAGTTTCTGACTTCGAGGTGCCAGAACTCTGAGCAAGTCAATGTGCCGTATAAGCCACCCGCCTGGCATCTTGTTACAGCAGCCCCAGTCAACTACTACGGATGCTGAGTGACATCTTAAGTTTAAGTTGCAAAGGACAGAGACCAAGGTGGTAAGAGTGGTTATCTCTGGGTACAAAGATTATGGGTGATTTTTCCCCTTTTCTGTATTTTTCTGATTTCTTCTACTTCTTGTTGTTTGCAGAGCAAACAAAACATTAACAACACACCTAGGAGCCACACCAACCACGCCGTGGGCAGGTCCTACTTCTGGGCCTTGGCACCCGCCACTCCCTCTGCCTGGAACTCTCTTCCCCAGACACCCGTCAGTCGTGCCCCCTCACCTTCTCCAGGCTCCAGGTGTACGACCCCTGACTGCAATAAGGACCACAGGCTCTCTGAGTGGGAAACTCAGTTAATGGTATTCCCTAAGAGACTGTTTTTTAACTTGTTAGGTGAAATGAACAACAGCATAGTACAATAGCTTCCATAGCTAAGTCCTTCACTACTGAATGGAAGTTGCTCTTTTGGGCAAGATAAACGTGCTACTTCCTTGTGTCAGAAAAAATTTAAGTCAGGCTGGATTAACTATTTCTAGTATAATACTCCTCTTGTAAACTTTGGCAAAGAACATCCTCATGGCTAAAAATGTTACCTCTTCATCTAACAGCCAGATCTGATTAGAATATCCTAATCCAAATACCACAAGCTCATTACTATTAGTTTCAAAACAAGTGATGAGTTCAAGTTATATTTTTCTGATATCTGATTCCTACTTGTGAAGTAGGGGAAAACATATTAGTAATGAATCCTACACTGCCACAGACACTTCCATGGGATTAGATTCACCATCTAATTAATTCACCATCTACTAGACAGTCTTGAAATATTCCAAGCAGGAGTTGGAATATAAATTTAAATACCAGCATAATTGTACTGTATACTGATTAATTATAATAAGCATCTGTTCCATTTGAACAGTAATTCTCAAAAATTTTTGGTTTCAAGATCCCTTTATACTCTTAAAAATTACTAAAGATTTTATAGAGCCTCTGTTGATGTGGGTTATCGCTATTAATATATACTGAATTAGAAATTAAATAGATTTTAAACTATTTAGTTCATTTAAACTAATCACAACAAACCACTGTGTTAAGATAAATAACATATATTTTCCAAACAACAAAGGAAAATTTGTGAGATGGGTGGTATGACTTTGCAAATTTCTTCCATGTCCGGCTTAAAACATGTTTAGAGCTGAGGTGAGCTGGAGAACGCGAGTCCCGTCCGAAGGGCACAGCCGCGCCTTCTCTCTGGCCAAATGTCTGTGGGTGAGATTCTGCTTATAGTCCAACACTTTGCAACCTCTGCGGTCACCGAATTATGTTCTCAAAAATCCCTTTCAATTCTTACATCATAGATTTGGCTCAGCATATGTTTTTAAATCCTTCCTTTTGTCAGAAGGGTAAAT